ACCGGCAATTTCAGGCGCAGCTCAGAGATTGTTTTAGCTAGTCTTGCTCAAGCAGAGCTGGAAGCATAGTTGGTACTAACGCAGCTGCTTAGATGTCAGCATTCCTAATAAGATACGGCCTCAACTATTTGGGATGCTGAACCGAACAAGGCGTCAGCACTTTGAGAACCCATGCAGCCAAGCCTGGCTAAACTTCCCCCAGTCTTCTCGGAACAGTGTGGTCAGGATCCATGGCGCCTCGGTTAGTGATTTCCTCGCCTTGCTTGACAGTTGCGACCTCGGATTGGGAAGCGTCCCAAGACGCAGGTGTTCCACAGTTGCTGCCTGCGGAGTTGGGCTACACACAGCTTGCTTTTCTTGCTCTCTCAGTCCGCCAAAGATGATCCAAAGTCGCGAGAGGTCAATGAAGGCATGAGCAACCCTTTTAGTCGTTTCACCCTCATTTAATGGGCAGGCGGAAGTTGATCTTGTGTTGGGGAAGGCTACTGATTTTCTAAGCGGGCCTGATGTCGACGCGTGCCCACCCAGTTCTCGAGTGCTGCTAGCTGCTTAGCAGCGATGAGCTGGCAGTGTCAACGTTGTTGCCGTCCTGCATGCAGACGGCTTGACAGCACGGTTCTTCTCAGCAAAAAAAAGTTTGTCATCATGCAAGAGATTGAAAGTGTTGTTGAGATTTCCGGTATGTAAACCAGAGAAAGCTCACCCAGAAGCCAATCTAACACAATCTGTCGCTGGTCCTGCCATGCCAAACTGGACGCAAATGCTTCAGGAGTTTGAGGCCCAAAGCCTGGCCAATCTTTCCTGGGCAGAGGCACCTTGAGGGCTCCGGGCTTGACCTGAGCTGGCTTCAGACTCAACATTGTGATAGAAGACCTTTTTTGCATAGTAGCTTCCATTTTCTTTTCCATTATCAATAACAGTGGGCATTCCCCAGGCAGACCGTAGGCCAGTGAACTCTTGCCTGCCAGCAGGCAACCATGCGCTTCAAGGACGATGTGCCTCGGTCTTGGCTGACCATTGGGAAGCGTTATGCTCGCTGAAGAGAACTGCGTGCTTTGAGAGGCTGATGCACCACATCGCTGGTGAGGCCACGCTGCAGCAGCGCACGGCTAGGGCAACAACTTCACTGTGCGTTTGGCTTGAGCTTG